TTATTGGGGCCACATGCCCTCTATAGATTTCTTCTTGCTTACATTCCATGCTTACTACAGACAACTGAGTCCAAGATACTGGAAAATTTTCCCAAATAATGCAGATTCTCCCTGATGTAAAGAAACTGTTTTACTCTTTTCTCTGACCAACAATATTCAAATTTACGTATATCTCTGTGAACAGCCCACATGAGGCATTCCCTTTATGACCCCTATTTTCTTTAATTGCCCTTAGAAGCAGCCTAGTTTTATGCAACCATAATTAAACTCTCTTCCTCTTTTCAGACATCTTTTGGCATCCTACTTATAATTAACTACTTTGTGAGTTATTTTCTTCTCTAACTTTCTACCTTTAGTACTTCCCCCCTTCCCATTTTCCCTTTGTTTACCAAACATTACCATTTGTTTACGTCTTTCTAATCACTTATTAGAAGTATATTCATCATTTATTTCTGGAACCTGGTTCAAGATTCAATTTCACCTATCAGTTTCTATCTGTCTCATGGAAATTGAAAGCCTTATTAAGGCATCAGGTTTATTATTTTATATAACATATCTTTTATTTATCCATAACTTAGATGAGAAGTTTGATTCCTGTTGAATTCAATTTAAAATTCCTTCTACCAAAGAACTACAAGCTTGACAGTGTTATGGATTTCTAATGGCATTAAGGCTGAGATCTTGAATGTTCCTGCTGTTGATTTCCATAGGCTACATACCTGAGATGGCCACCAGAGAAATTTGTTCAGCAACCTTTCCATTGCCATGGCAGGCAGATTTCTTTCTTTTCCCAGCACAATGGTGACTTTCAACTCTGCAGTGTCAAACACAGAAACTAGCTAAGGACTTGAAAGTCAAATGTAGGAGAGGACATCCCAGATTTAGGGCACAGAGACTAACTACAGCTACCATGGTAAAAATGAGTTCAGTCAGCTTTGAAACAGTACATGAGCAAATTATGACTCCAGTCAGGGGAAAAAATACCTTTGATCTATGAACATGTCAAAGACAGGATGTTACATTGCAGGAGGAAAAGTAAAATGAAAACCAGACTTTTAACTGTGGGAGGAAAGAAGTCCACTGCATCAGAGTTTCCACACTGTTGTCAATTGTTCCACTGCAGTAATTGTCTGTTAGTGTCCCACTCCTATTAAATTAATTTCTCAGACAGAAGCACAGCACACAGGAAGGCTGAACACCATGGGGCTAATTCTGTTATGTTAAGGGTCAATAATATTACTGTGCCCACAGGGTTCCACATATCTGAATAAGAGAAGGCCCCATTGGACATAAAAACAGGGTTTTATTCCAGTTCTGTTCCCAGAAATGTACAAAGACAGAAAAACAATATGCAGCAGATGATTGGGGTATGCACAGCTGAAATCTGTGCACAAGAATCATGTTATCTGATTTCTGGACTTCACATGCAGTGTCTAACACCCATCTCCAAGGACAGACCATATATAATAGAAAAAACTCTGCCTATTTCTGGAGAGGGCTGAATTCCTGTTTGTCCAGTAGTCCAATGAGACAAAAACCAGAGCAATGGTATTCCTGGAAGATTGAGAGCATGTGAAAGGGAATGTAGGAGTTACTATAAGAGACCTGAAATGGTCTGGGAACCAAAGAGCTCAGCAGAGATCAGATGGCATGAGAAACACTGAAAGTTACTAACTGAAAAATGAGGAGGAAATGTTTTCATAACAATATTTAATTGAAAGTCTGTTCAAATAGAATCCAGTAAGCTCTCAGAGTCATTATCATGGTTTCTCTTGCACTTCTACAATCTATTGAGTAAATTTTTGAATAGTAGCACTCCAAAAACTATTATCCAAATAGTAAAGAGAGCCTCAGAATACCTTATTTTCTGGTCCCATTTAACTCCTTGTAAGAGGAAAAATACCCTCAACCTCTAAAATCTACAACAATGAAACACAGTATTCATTTTGACTTTAATAACAGAAAGAAAATGCACTCCTGGATTCCCAGCAGAGTGGGACAATGACAATTGCATAAAGTGTATATTTAAAATGATGTTGTGAAATCCAAGGCAAAGATCAAAGAGGTTGTTTAATAAATCAAGATTGGACTGTTTCATACAGCTGTACAATAGCAAATATAAAACTTCTAAACATAGGCAAGGAAAATTAACAATTATTAATTAACAACTATTAATTAAAATATTAACAATATATTAATGGTGTGGTAACATTAAAAATTAAGTCTTGAAGCTAAATAAAATGTGATATAAAAATCCTGCTTGAATTTACTAATGGTAAATCATGAGAGATCCCTTCTTCAGTATGATAACTGATTTTTATGACTGGAAAGATATGGACAAAATTGTCTTCAAGAAGTTTTCCTGTGTTCACCCTATGAGAAATTATCACTTAAAATAAAGGCTGGGACTATAAGAATTAAAGGTAGGCAAAACCTGACTGAAAATGAAAGAGTCAGTTGTTCTGAAAACAACAGGTTGTCACTGTAAAAGGAGTCGCCATTGTTGTGGAGTTTCTCAATGAAGTCACCATTAATGACCACAACATGGTAAGATTTTCTAACAGTGGAATAATTTTAAAAATTATATGGTTGGATGACTGTAAACTTGCATGGGAAGAAATTATGTACTAGGAAACAAATAGAATTTATATAGGAAAAGGTACAAAGACCCACAGTTAGGGCATAACAAGTATTTCTGCCATAACCTGAGAGCTCATTGGTAGGGAAATGCTAATAAGGAAGGAAAAGAACAGTGCAGTCTTGAACTGTTGGTTAGATTTAGACGCAATTTTCCTGCTGCTGCAATGCTTTCATGGAAAGCACAGATATGATCCTGGGTTATATCAGATGAATCAGCACTCCTGTGGGAATATGGAAAATTACTGCTATATTACCAGTATCTTAGCAAAATGAAAGTGAGGAGTGAAAAAGATGGGTCTCTACATTAGAAGGACAAACACCAGAGAAAAGAAACAAAACACAACAAAATGCAACAAGGACACTGGAATAAATCTGGTTATGAACAAATTTAATTAGGAAATTAGGACAGGTTTTGTCTACAGAAGGGATGATTAAATTCAGAATTCAAAATATATCCTTCAAATCAAATTCTGGTTAAAGATATGAGAGTACAATGACTTTGGATCACTGATGCCTACTCCATGTAAACTTGGGGAACATACTGCACCCATCTTATCTAAGGGTCACTGTGTCCACAAATAGGAACTTTATCTCCACGAGGACAACTGATTAAGTCCTTAACATTTAAAAAAGAAGTATTTACATTTGAAAGATAATAAGACTTTCATAACAGGATAACAGGAGACTCATCTTTTAAAAATTCTGACACTTCAGACACCTTTAGGGTCAGCTAGAACTTACCAGCAAGTGCTCTGATTTCTTAGTATTTCCTCCTAAAAATATTACTGTTCTGTGTCAGGAATATTACTTGCAAACTTTCTGGGATTGAGATTCCATTCCTTTTCAATTAACAGAGCTCTTTGTGAATCTGTCACCCAAAAAAATACTTTAAGCATCTTTTAGGTATTAACCAACACATTTGGTTTTTTAAGCATAATTGATAAAGTGTCTGTGGCATACTTCAAAAACCATTGTGTTCATGTCCTGCTGGGGTTGTATTTTCATTTAAAATTCTTTATGTATTTCCTACTCTGGCTGTCAAAGGGTTGTCAACACATCCCCTTCATTATTTATAAAACACTTTTAGCTTTCTTCTGTTTTTATCTTTGTTTTTTTAATCAAACCAAACAAACTGTGTCAACACAAGAAAAAAATATTAAACATGAGAACAGATGAAAATATTCTCTCAGTGATTGGATGCCTGTATATTGAACACAGAACACAGTAGTTCCTCTGCGCTGATTAATATGGCACACGCTAAAATAAACCCTAGGCAAATAAATACACAAAAATAGGGCAAATAAAGACAGAGAGAAAAATATGCAAAGTGAAGAAGAGAGGAAATTAATACAGAAAAGAAATATATGGATTTAACTCCAGCTATTTTTCTAAGTCTCCAACTATGAAATCCGTTTATCAGATTCAAGGGGACTAGGATTCCTTAATAAGTGATTTTCATTCAGTATTCTTTTTCACACCTCACAATCCCCAAAACTTTAGTAAACTGCCTGCTCTACACTGTATAGAGACATCATTGATTAAGATGTCTCTTAGAGAACACAGATGTTAGAATCACACTGATGTCAGACCAGAACTTTGGAAGACATGATTTGAACAAAAACCTACCTGATATTCCACCCCCTACACCTTCAATATCAGTCGGTTCAACTTCTATTTCTTTAGTTCTGCTTCCTTCTATTTCTGGTTCAGCTTTCTATTTCTGAAATGGCCAAGGTATTAAAAGATTATTTCTGCTAAAACTGAATGAGTTCTTTGACAACAGTCAAAAAATGCTCCTTTTATCTATGTTGCTCTTTTTCATTCTAAGTGGGCAAACTGTTTCCCCCCAGTTCTTGTTACATTTTATAATTTTATGTGCCTCTCTGCCTACTTGTGCATGTGAGTATATAAATAATCCATATATATATATATAATTTTATAGTACATAAAATTATTTCTATGTAAGTATATATTTATAATTTCATAATACTTGTCTGTGTGAACTTTGGTGTGTCAGTGGAAACTAACACTGTGTGGTTGGCAGTCTGTATAAATAGTATCACTTTCAGGAAGAAGAGGATTTGGGTATTTCAGTGACATAAATATTTTGGGACTTCATTCTGATGTGATATATCTAAACATATCACCTTATTTAAGAACATGCTAGACTTCTTGGCAGCTCAAAATAGGTGGAATCCAGGCCTCAGTTACTAACAGAGATATTTTTGGAGGGGTATATATACATGTGAGGCAGCCATTCTCTTCTGAACCTTTCTCTTCAATTTTTAGCTTGAAACTTTCTCTACATAGGATGAAGCCTAAATTGATGTTGATACACTAAGCTGGCCTTTATCTTGCAGGTCCAATGAGTACTGCAGATTAACTAAAAATTCAAAGTCCAGAACCGTAAATGGAACTAGAACACCAACGGCATTTAATTTGTGATAGAAAGTAGACATTGTATGGCCTATTTTAATACAAATATGATACCACTGCAGCTTTAGAAGCCTAATAGTGTCAGGGTAAGTATAAGGAGGTGTTTCTCATTTTTAGGGGTATCTCCATTTTCTGAAATTACTACAGACATAGGAATCTCCCTAAGGCTTACTTAATCTTGGTAGAAATAATAATTTCCATCTTTCTTTTCTCAGGGAGTCTGAGAGGAAATACCTTCATTTAACCAATTCTCAGTGTTTAGTGCAATAATGGCATTGATTTTAATCACCCAGTGCTGGTTTTTCTGGGGTGAAGTTAATTTCCTTCACAGTAGCTATCATGGAGCTGCATTTTGGATTTGTGCTGAAAACAGGGTTTCTATTGCAGAAATACTTCAGTTATTGCTGAGCAGTGCACAGATCTCTCCTTCCTTCTCTGCCTCCAAATTGATATTCTAAGGATGACACCATATGGTCTGGGATGTCCATGGGGTCACTGGGGTCAGTTGTCCTGTGCGTGCCCTCCTGATTCCCTGTGCATCCCAAACCCACCCAAAGGTGGGTGAGGAGCAGAAAAGACCTTGACACTGTGTAAGCACTGCTCATTAACAGCAAAAAACATCTCTGTGTTACCAACACTGTTCCTACCACAAATCCAAAATGGAATCCCACGCCAGCTACTGTGGACAAAAATAATTCTACCTTAGCCCACAGCAGCACATTCAGCTATTTTCACTTCCTAGCATTAATGTTCTAGATATTTCAATGTCATTTGCTAAACCTGAAAATTGTGTTTCATCTATCCTATAGCAAAGAATTTTCTGCAACATTTGCACACATATTATGTACACAGTTCTCAGTGCATTCTCATAATTTGAAAGCAAGTTTTCATTGGTTTTAGAAGCAGACATCAGCTGCAAAAAGCTTTTCAATTTGTTGCATGCATGATATAACTCACAGGGAACAACAGAATATGGAAGAGTAGCAAAGACTTTCCCTCTTTAATGAAAAAGATTCTGAAATGCAATTATCTATTATTTGCCTTAATGAGGGGTTAATATGCAACAATTTTACCTGAATCTTAAAAGCAGCACTGAATCCTTTCCCTTCAAGGGTTAGGAAAAAAATCCCAACCAACCCTATCATTTTTTAGTGCCCAGAAGCAATGCTACAAAGCACTCCTCCAAATACCTACAAAGCACAATTACAATTGTATTTATGAGCTGTCCATCTCTTGCCAAAATAGAATAAATTTGACCTGATTTATGTGTCTAATTAGAGTAATAAGAGGTTTGGGTTTTTTCAGTTTACAAGCCAAGGGCTCTGGCAAGAACCTTTGTGTCATAATATATCAAATAAATTGAGCAGTAATTTGTGCCATTCACGGGTACCTTCCAAACTTCTGGAATGAACTTTATTAATTGGTACAACTCAGTTGTAAATTCTGGTTTTGCTTACCAAAATGTTTTTGAGGAGAACTGGGAGGTACAATGGCTAATTCTACTCAGCAGGTTGACTCTTTGTATTAGAAAGCACTGGGGTTTTCACCACTATCGCTCTTCCTGAATTTAATCTAAACATTTTGCTTTTTAAAAAATTCCAGGTTGGCAAGATTGGCAAGATTGGCAAGAGTTTCATAAATTCTATGCCTATCTACAGAGTAATGCCAGATTTTTGGAATCCATGAGGGCCTCCACAAATGATATAAAGACTTCACAAAGTTTGTGTTCTGTGGTTGCAAAGAGACCACACTAAAAAAGTTGAAAGCTGCCATCAAACTGAACTCTTGGACTTAAGCACAGTTTCATGCCAAACTCTCAAACAATCTTATTTAAGGAAAAGAGTCAGGTTAGCTACTGTGGTTTGACTCTGCTCCAATCCAATTGATCCTAAGGTCAAGTAGACCAGATGAAAAAGTCTTGCAGGAACTTGCTTCATTCCACACACTTCATGGTAAGGTATTTTCATGGCCTGCTGCCTTTAGGATGGTTGTTCACTGCACCAATTTCTGCATTTAATAGCCTGCAGACCAGCTCCTGCCTCACCAGAAAAGCACACATGTTCCTTAAAAACATTAATTTGTGTGCAGATTGTCCCAAGGAAGATGTTTCATATAAATTCTTTTTACATTCAAAGAGAAGAGGTTATAAATCCCCAATTTCTCAGCTTCATCCAAACTTCCTCTATAATCCTATGTGAGTATGAAAGCTTAAAGCACAATAAATGCTAGTTTCTAAAGTTTGCACAATTAATTAGAAAGTTTTTAACTGGATTACAAACAGTAAAACATTTAATAATGCACAGCAAAATTTTAACAGCAAAATGGTTTCTTCTTAGGAGCTCAAGAAATAAGTCACCCAAAAACTCTTGCTGCAGAAGCTAAGGGTGCAGAATTCATCAAATTACTCCATCTGCTGGCTGATTTCCTCCAATCCTGGATGATTTCTCTTAGCTGTGTATTCTTGTCCCTTTTTAATGCAAATGAAACATTCAAAGCTTGATCAGTGTCCTTTCAAAGCAAATGAAATATTCAGGGTTGCCTTTGATATTCAAAGCACTTCCTGGAATCATGACTCCCTCTTTTCTCTCCATTTCCAGTTTAAGAAGACCTTTATGTTGCAATTTTAACATATTCTTTCTTCTAGAGAAGGCATAAGACAAATGTTTTAACACTTTAGTGACTTTACTAGCCTTTCTATGTTGCACATCATAAAAAGTATAAATTATCCAACAATTTGATTAATCTTATTATTTTTGCTGTGTTTCTGCTGTTCCATGGAACATTCATGACACGTCAGAAATAGAGATGTCCTACTCTTCAACAGAGTACTCAGAAGTTGGGCCTGTTTCCCATCCTTCCCACCTTGTAACCTTCCTACTGAATAGTCTTCCCTGGACCCTAAACTGAACTATTTATAGCAATTCTGCTTCTTCATAAGTCAGTGTCTTCCTGTATCTTGTATTCATGCTCATCCAATATTCCTTCAGGACAGCCCCATGCACCCCCTTTTCAGGATTTGTCCACAGGTACACAGTTTTCTGTACAGCCTTTTTTCCCTCCTGCTTTCCATGTCATTTTCTGAATATGACCAGTGCTACTCATCTGCAAACACATTGTGACTTTTTTTGCACTGGGACCATCCATTACAGCACATCAATATGTCTGTATTTAAACTGATTGCACTTCTGGTTTATTCAAGGTGTTGAGCTAGTGCACGAAAAGTGTACCTCTAAAGAACCAATTTTGAAAACTAAAGAGTATAATTTTCTATATTAAATTATCACAATCTACATATATCCTAATTTACATGAAGGTTTTGAGGGAGATGTAGCTTTAAGATTAAGGTATTTACGGTCCCGAATATGCTTCCTCAAATTTTCAATTCTTGCGGGTCAGGGCATATTCTGAAATAGCAAAATGCAATGAGCAAAAATATTTGCAGTATTAAATCAGGATTAGGCACAGTAACAACCAGAATTGCCATTCTAGAAGTTGGAACCAATCAAGGCAACCACTTCTAAGTGCAGACACATAAGCAAGCTGCTGTAAGTTATCTGCTTCTCTAATAAAATAACAGCTCACTAAATTAAATGCACTTGGGCTTGAAACTGAGTGAACGCCCAGGTTTCTTTGACATTAAATAAATTACACAAACTACTTTAGTGTATACTCACAATAACCCCCAGACTTATCAGCCACCAACCATGCAATGAGGCACCCTGTCTTGCTTGGTCCTGGTTCAGCTAAGCAAGGGAGGAGGTCCCTCCTGATCTTCCTTTGCTGCTCCTCCTTGCAAGTGCTGAAAATGCTCCCCCCCTTGCAGACCATGCTCCCTGTGCCTGTACTAGAGATGACCTTAGACAAGGGTCTAAGACCACATTTTTCTATGGGTTTCATCAGGTTCAAAAGGCCACAAAGAAAAATGATTCAGCACACAGATAAGGGCTTCACAAATATTTCTTTTATCGGTTTACATCCTGACAAGGTTGAGACCAACACTCACAAATGGAAGACTGGGTCAGTGTTTCTCTACAAAGAGACTTGTGTAACCCAAGCTGTCGATCACTTTATCTCAGGGAGGAAAGAAATGCAGAGCACAAATAAGAAACTGAGTCACTCTCCCTCCCTACCAGCCCTTCCAGAGCAAATTAAATCTGCCCTCACATTCCTGAAGTCAAAGAGAACAGTGAGACAGAAACATATATATTGCCTTGAAATTAATCCCCTTAGCACACAGCTGGAGCAGCACAACAAAATGTAATTTATGTCTGTTACCACAAACTTGAGTTAGCACCGCTCAAAGACTCAAGCAGACACAAGTTCCAGATAGGAACTTTTGGGTGAGAGAGAGTACTTTTGTTCAGATAAAGCCACTCCTGCCTTTTTGTGCACCAAAGAAGAGACAGAAGAAACTTATTGTTGGAAAATAAATATAAGGAAATATTAAAGCAAAAGAAACAAGGCAGACCCAGTGATAGAATTTATATAAGAATTTGGTACATTGCCTTCCACATCTCAATAAGGGTAGCACCTATTCGATGGTGGTATTTCTTTTATTTACTCTAACAAGACTATTATATTTCAGGCACATAAAAACTTGCTGAATTGTGACTGTAAGACTCAACATTCAGTGTAGTTCACCAAGCCAAATTGTGCAGAAATAATCTGTCTGTAAGAAAAGTATCTGCCAGAGAGAGAATATCGAGTGCACACGACAATACCTTTTGCATCCCTTTGCAACTTCTTTCATGTGATGTAGTGCATGAAATGACATTTAAAACAGGTTTAGATACAAAATGTATGTCAAATATAAAGATAATACCATGTTAATTCTATGTTGAAATCAGTATTATAATGATATCGAACAAAAAGTCCTTGGTAGACTAGTTAAAGGAGAAGATACTGAACTGAACTAAACTGAACTGAAGGGTCTTTCCAGTGTTTTTTGTTTTCATTTTGTGTCAGGAAATTTGCATAATTAATTGAAAACACCATCAACGACACAAATTAAAATAATGCTGGTTTTTTGGTTTTTTTGCCAAGTAGATGAGTGTTTTCTCTGTTAACTTTAGGTGGAACAAAAAGCTTTCTTTTATACATATTGTTTGCCATGATTAGGAAATGTAAAGAGCACATAGTCTAAATGCTTCATACTTGCATGTGCACAGATATGCCTGTATTTATGTAGTTCTCAAGTTTTTATCCATACATAACTATTTCTGACTCAAACCAACCAATACTTTGACTGAAAGGATGCATTTCAACCTTTTCACATCATCATTATATTTTCTTTTCTCAGCAGATCAAGTAGATTGCATGTGAGTGAGACACATTCTATTCCTGGAAAGGTCAGTATCTCTGACATTGTGAGAGGATCATCTTATGAGTATTGGACACTGATACATCTGTCTGTTACCAGTCCATCTGTCCATGACTACAGGCAAGGATTCAAACAGCTCAGCCTAAATATAAGAGTCTTAATGTATCAGTGTGAACTCATCCGTTAACATAGTCAAGATAAGCCAGATTAAATAATGATAAAAATTGAAAAGATCATTTGAGAACTTAAGACAGAACATAGCGGGATTGACTAAGGAGCTTGCAAACCTAATACTTAGCCCAGTTTCACACCTTCACCTGACATTAAGCAGAGGCATCTCACATCCACCTAGAAGCAAAGCAAAGGGTAAAAAGTAGAGTCAGAATCAGCTAGAAGAGGTGTGAAGGTATGTCAGCTCAGGTTGCTCTAGTTTCAACAAACTGGAGTAACCCAGTTGGCAGCTCTATGTCTGAGTTTGCTTGCATGCTTTGGCAGCATAAGAATAAAGAGGGGGAAAACACCATGGCCTCAGGATGTCATAAAGGGTGCTCTTTGTACCAATTGCATTTACTCTCCTGGCAAAAAAATGAACTTGTACTTCTCTAGGAAAAAAATACTTCTGCAGTTAAATAACATGTGAGTGCATCAAATAAGATTCCCTGAGCATCACTGTTCAGTTGTCCTGTTTATACTTCTGCTGTCCTTCATACATACCCTGTGGTCTCCAAACACTGTCTTATCACCAGCACAACAATCACACAAACTCCAAAATAAGGTAACTAAACTTCTGAAAGTGAATTACCATGTTCTGCAAAAAGCTCATCTTCAGGTACTGAGATGTGTTGCAGGGATAAAAGCTCTTCAGATCTGCTGCAAGAAAAAGCACTACAGTTCTAGTATAGTTTTCCTATTTCCTTTTAGGTAGAACCTTTAACTTACACCTTTCCCTAGTGCAGTCCTTTAATTTAAAATTGATTTTCTCATCAAAAAAAGTGGCCTAATTGCATAAGAGGCTCCATAGCTCAATGAACAATTAGTAGTATTCAGCGTGTTTCAGTCTCAAAGCAGCAGATGTCAACAGCCTTGCAGATTTCAGATCTACAAATCAATCAGACAACATCTGAAAACTAGAAAGAGCTTGGCTCATATTAGTCCAACAACTAACAACAATTTAGGATATATTTTAAGTAAAATGCATTTGAAAAGAACACATCACTTCCCACTTAGAATTTGTATGTTCTTTTCATTCTGGTCTTTATCTCCCAAGGCGTAAGAAGCTTTCAATAGGAAGAAAGGTGAAGCCTGCTCTAGGCTCTCAATGTGAAGTCCTGTACCAAGGGTATAAGATGGAACATGAGAAATTGGACAAAAGGGCTTAGTAATTGTTTAAACCAGAATAAATTTATTTAAAAAAAAAAAAAAAAGAATTAGATGCTTCTGTTGGCAAGAAGGAATCCAGCTAAGCTCTGCAAAAACAGTACCTTGCTATCATTAAATATTCATAATTGATAGCTCTAAATTGTTCTTTCTTTATCCCTCTGATATGCTGTTTTCCTGCTTATAACATTTTTGGCTGCTAATTTTATTTTAGTCCTGTGATAATGTACAAAAGTTACTGTGAAAGGAATGTGACCATACTGTGAGTTTAATGTGCACCTCTTGCTGTTATTAGATGGGGCTGCAGGGCTGGCCTGCCTGGCTTTGCTGTGTGGGAATTCCATTATGTAACAAACACAGCTAAAGCCGGTAACAGCTTTAGATAAATATCTAATTGAAGATATTTTTCTGTCTGCAGGGGAAAGCAAAAAGCATTTACTACATACCTTGAGAGGGAAATAAGCAGCATGAACTAAGGAGGATAACCTGAAAGGAGATGTATTTTGTACACAACAGGACAAGCTAAGTCATCAGTCCTTTGTATAACAAAACTTGTAGACAAAGATTATAACAGGACAATGATAATAACAGGAGTTATTATCCAAAGATTTATTCAAACCTACCATTACCCAGAGATTCTCTATGCCCCACTTTGAAGTTTTAACAACCACTGACAAGGGTTGCCACCCCTGGCTGGGCTCCAGCTATCTTATAAAAGCTACATTTACTTTGCAAATCCCCTCCTTTCAAGTTTCCAGTCCTAGGCACAATTTACAGCACAGTCAAGCTCCTAATCAGGGCTGGATCCAGGCATGCATCTAGTCAGCCCGCAGCACTGCAGCTTTCACAAAGGGGAATCCAGGCATGATGGCCAAACTGACATTATCAGCTAAGCATAGCAGCAGCCAGTGCTGATTCTTGGCATTACTGATGCTGATATTGTGTATGTGGCAGTAGAGAAAATTTCTCCTCAGCACAAATTTTATGTATTCGAAGGAAAGCTGTAGCTGAAACAGTATCCAGACTCTAAGTATAAAGTGCAGTAGAGCTGCAATGTTAATTGGACCTTATATATTCCATAATATGTAGGACTTAGAGAACCATGGTTTAGATTTGTAATTTTCACATTTGGAACTAAAAGGGGTGTACCTAATGTGTAAGATTAAGGATAATATGTACTTGAGTACACACTTCCCAAGGAAATTCACTAAAATTCAAGTATCACTGTCTTTTTGACATTTCAGCTTATATATATAAGTTGTATTTGAAGCAACTCTAAAAATATCACAGATTGCCTTCCTTTTCTGAAATTGTCGACATGAATTTTCCTAGTTTAATCTATTTTTTTCTCTACGAGAAAGTCCTTCCCTCTCCATTCAAATATGAAAATTTATCTGTTTTCATCCATATAAATCTCTTTCCAAATGATTGGGTTTTTTTATCCACCATATAAGAGATGAATTTCACATTACCAGTAGCCTCATCCAAAAGCTTTAAATTTTGGAGTTACTTCAAGTTTATATGGAATAGTATCAGTGCAACCAAATACTTCTTCATAGTTTTTTAACTGAAGGACTGCTTAACATTTCTGACAAAAATCCCCAGAAACTACACCCACTAATTTTTGGCAGCTGGAAAAGAAGGTGGTTGTTTTGTTGTTTAAAATAATTCTTTTCTTTTACAACTATAGAGGAACAGAAATACTGTTTATCCCCTGCAGTCTGTCTTCCAGAAGGCAGCAGGTTTCTGCACCACTAATTGCAATTCACAAGAGGGACATTTTTAAATATATACTTCTTAAACTCGGGTAAAATTTCAGAATATGACATTTTGTATCTCATCCAAAGCACAGTATTTTGTCTTTCTGGTTTTTGTAGTTCCCAGCACAGAGCTGTATTTTCCATTTGCTGCAAGGGTGCTGTCAGGAACATGGAGGCATTTCCTTAATTCCTTAAAGGAACCTGAGCTCATTTCAACACTGAGTTTCCTTCTGATGGGGAGAACCAACCCCTTGGTCACTTTCAGCCTCAATTGGACATGCACACAGCACATCCTTCCTGCATCTTAAGAGCTCTATACATGCAGCAGTGATAACAGCAGTACAGGGGAGAGAGTGAAATTAATGCCATTGAGATGGACATATGTTTCCTTAGAGCCAAATCTGATGAGAGAACTCTGCAACAGCAGAAGATCCACAGTAGAAAGTCCCATCTCAGGGAGCAAAATCAACAGTGCTGCAATTTTTTCAATGCCACACAGCACAGAGAGAGCACCACAATGGTACACACAGAGCTAAGGCAAGAGGCTACAGCCATCTAAGTCCACATTCAGGCATTTCCAGTGCCCATTCCAGTAGGGAAGCAGCTCTACTGACTACAAAACAGCTGCGAGTTTCTCAGTAAAAGTAGTAGTTTATATATATAAAAATAAAAGTATATAGCTCAAAAAGTGCTTCACAGCATGAACTTAACAAAAATAGCAATTTCCATGTATTGGTATCTGCAAATATTTAACTATATGTTTATGATGTCTCTGTCTCCTTGATTTCATTTCATCTGTTCAGGGTTCATACAGTTTGCAAAGACTTTAATTAGGACAAGTATTAATAAAGTATTTGCAATTGCCATCAAAACTGCACAAACCTTCCAAACTGAGCTAATCTAAGAAATTTACAGCTGTGAGTCCTTGGAAGAACAAGAAACCCAAACGACACAAGCTCATTTAATAAATTCAGAAAAATTATTTTCAGAAAGATATGTGATTCAAGTAAATACATTTAATGTATTTCATGTCAGTGGTTTCCTCTGGTTGTCTTGAACTGTATTGAGAAGAAAAAAATAATTCTTAAATACGTATACCAAAAGCTGTGAAGGCAGGAAAAGCATTTTCCAATTCCTGGTGTGAAAATAAAGAATTTCTCTCAGTAAAGTAAGGATTGATTTTCCCATCCTCAGTGTCAAGCTCATTTGTTTCTAATTTTAATGGGATTAACCTACACCAAATTATCCATTGGCTTTTAAGAATACAGCATCTTAAAACACTGCAGCATTTGTAGGTGTAACTTCCAGGCTTAAAAAATAGTGGAATCTGATGAACATCACGTGATGCCAAGTAAATCTGGGTTTCATGGCATGAAAGTTCCCTTGCAAAGAAATTTATCACACAGTGATGCATCTTCCCAGAGGACAGGCTGTCAGTTTTTTAAGCTGGCTGGATCACACATTCAGTAGGGTACTGGCTAACAGCATTGTTTAACCTCTTCACAAGGAGAACCACATACAGCTTTGAAAAAAGAGGGTGCTCATAATGCATTCTAATTCCCAACCAAATAAAAATCAGGCTAAATCTTGAAAATTTGTTTTTTAATTCACGTGTCCCTCTATTTTATTTGCTTACTTCTTTGTTTATATGCTAAAGACGTCATAGCTTGTTTTAAAGTTTTTGATGTCTTATAAATCAAGTGATCCACGTATTAAAAGTTGTGAAAAGCAGATATACAAATAAATTAAGCTAATGTATACATTAAATGTATACATTGTCCCTACTTTCCATAATATATTTGACTAATGTTCAGGAGAAAATGCATTGGAAAAACACAAAGCTAACATTTACAGGAATTCGACCTTGCCAATGGGCTAAACCCAGAAACAAAATCTGAGTCCTTCAGCAATGACATTAATATATGTGTTGTGTTCTTCAAATTTTATGTTTCTGTGGAAGTGAGGAACAGTTTAAGAACATAAAAAGAAAGTAAGCCCCGGGTAATACTCCTTGAGGAAGAAGTTATCCTTTTAATTACTATTTTCTATAGAGCAAAACTAGATTATTTAGCTACAGTCATAACTAGTAAGTATAAAAAGGAAATAATTTTTTAAGACAAAATTAGTTTCTGGGGCAAAGAGTGCAATGTCATATGTGTTACTTAACTGGACCAGCATTTGGCAGGCAGAGGAAGGGCCATAGATGATGTGCCCCAAGGACACCAGTGAACCAAACACCCTTAGGGGCTGCAGCCGGCAGCACAGCATGCAGAGATTTCACCATGGCCCAAGCAGGTCAAGTGTTGGCTCCTCCTTTGCTCTCAAGCAGAGCCAGCATCACAAGAGCAAAAGAAAGGCTGTTTAGCCATGTAGATTTTTGCACTGGGAATGATGGATGGGCAGTGCCTTGGGTGTTTCCATTTCAATACGAGCCATCCGAGCCCTCTGTCATTTATTCTCTGAGCATTAGACAATGCCAAGGCAAAGCCATTCTTTTCCTGACTTGCACACAGTTCACTCAAGTCAATATCAGACTTTTATCAAGAAGTAACTTACTTCAATAAGCCAAACTTCTTTTGGAGTTTCAGGGTGCATTAACATGCAACCTAACTGGAAACTTTTTTAACAATAACATTCTTAAGGCTCAGGAGAAGAAGATTTTTCCTTTGAACTGTTTTCTATTCAAATGTAGGGTTGTGTATTTTGCGTGTCTTCATTGCCACCTTGTGGTCAAACCTTTTTCTTATTGTTTTTCTTTTTTTATTTATTTTTGTATTTTTACTTTCTAAAAGCAGTACAAAAATAGTAATGTAAAAAAAAAACAAACAAACAAACAAACCTTCCAAATAAAAAATTATATCTAGTATATACAAAAGTATATTCAGATCATAAAGTGCAAGATGATACAAACACAACTTTTCGGTCTCAACATCTTCAAAGTCTAAACCAAGAAAAAGGAAGAAAAAAGGAAAAACAAGAACCAAAGAAACCCAACAACATAAAGAACAAGAAAAAGGTCAGACAAGAAAAAAGACCAGATTTATTTTATTCTGAAGTCAGTTACAGAAAGGTTCATTGCTGTTGATTCACAGCCCTCCTGAGGTACTTCGATTGAACACAAATTTATGAAGTCTCTGGATATGCTGACTTAAGAGCTAGTGTCTACTTGTTTTCTCTCCAAAGATCAATAGCTCCCACTATATACTTGTTTTCTTCTAATATTTAGCTACTCTTTCATCATTATTGGAATTCATTTTTGTTAATGTACAGCAGAATGCTGTCTTACAATGATGGCTGCTTGGTGTCATAGAAAGGCATACATAACATTTAATAGATTATTATTACAAATATAGTAATGTAAAGTTTAAACAGCAACAGCACTTAAAATGCAACTGGAGAAGACTTTACTGGATAAAGACATATAGCAAAGAGTTTATTCATGACCTAAATACTAATTAATTCCAAAGAAAATGCACAATATTATTACATTTGTTGATTCCTGTAATCTGTAATGGCCTTCAGCATTTTGGAGCCTCAAAAATCATGGAACTGTCAGTCACCTCTCTCCACTCACTTCCTGTGGTCTCAGCAAAGAAGCACAAAGAAAGGCCAAGAGGATGAATGGCTATCACCATCTACCCTATTATTTCCATGCAGTGAATGAGTCTTACAGGACCAGCTCTCACTGGTAACACTTAAAATAATTTTAAGGCTGTTCTAACGTGTGCTGCACAGTGGCAGACCATCAGATATTCCTAATCCCTAAGAGCCTTTTCTCACAAACACCACCCAAGTCATCCACTATTCCCAGGAGACATAACCCAAAATCTGCCTCCAAGTGAAACCACTTTACATTCTAATAAATCATAAAAAAACATTCATGCAAGAGAGATAATATTACTTTAACTTGTACCTCCACAAAAGACAGTCAAGTGTTTATCACATGCTGAGACCAACTGGCTTTAGGACATTGAGTACACCTGCTCATTTTTTAAGGGCTTAACTCTTCCATCATTAACAAAATGTTACACAGTCCGAAAGCAGCATAGCTGCTGTCTAGCTGCCACAAAGTATATGAGTTAATTGAAATCAGTAAGATCCCAGAACACCCTGAGCACAGGTACAGCTTCTCTATACAACTGGGTATGAATAAGGAACACATGGGAGAGAAGTGTGTAAGCCTGTAGGAAGAGTATTTACAAGTAACAGGAACATTTGTACTTTGGTGCTACAGACTTCGTGAAGTGTCAAGCTTACAATTTAGCACATCCCAAGACTGGTAAGTACAGGAATTGCTACTATCACACTCTGCTGCACTATTTGCCCTTAGTGACCTCAAAATATTTTCATAGGTATCAGCACGAACACCCTCATGTTAAAGAGGGGAAACAGAGACACAAAGCAGTGATCTTTTCCAAAGGCATCCCATAAGCTGTCAAAAGTGGCCAAGAAGGAAGTCATCAGAGTCCTGCTTCAGGATGCTTCCCTCCAGTCCTTGCACCACCCACCAACCACACCACAGCCCTTCTAAAAATACTCCCTAAGGACGCTACCCACGGGCAGCCTCTGGCTCAGGAGACAGACATTCAGCTGAGAAAACAGATACTCTGAAGTCGCAGGGATGCATTGTTGTGTTGGGGTTTATACATCTTGTCCAGATAAAATATGAGCATCATGGAAGATATCGCTCTGAAATCTCCCTCCAGCATTAATTATCTCTTTTATGCTCTGGGATTTGTCAAAAGTTTTGATGAGCAGCATATGCTGGTTCACATGCTGGCACTTCTCTTTTCAGCACCCTTGATGACTTGGTGGACTTCTGCTCATAGTGGATTTATGAAGTAAACACTTATTGTAGAAAAAAATCAATGACTGAAAACCAAAATTAAATAACCTAAGTGAAAATATTAATTTGCTTTATTTCTTATCTCACCTTTCTGTCTCTTCCACAGTAATTTTATGCCTCCCTTATGAAGTATTTAATTACAGAGATTTCATAGCTTAATTCTAAGTGTTTATTACTTCAGGAAGGCCGTTTCATGTCATCCTGTTAGTTTAGGAAATAGACATTTTCACTGCATTTTTATTCTTGTTGGACCTGGCTTAACCAATTTCAGTAATTAAAACAGATTTACTTCTGCGATAAAAACCGTAACTGATACAACATTTTAATTCCCAATTTGTAGCTGTATTAATGCTCAGACTTCACGCCTTGTTACAATTTGACAGCAGCTTAACAAGTTATTGAACACCAACTGAGTTATAACTTTTTATGTTCCTTTTCTTAGTGCACAGCAGACATGAGATACTGCAGCAGAACATAAACTAAAAAATAACCAGGGAGCCAAAAAAACACGCAGCCTTGTGCCTCAGGTGCCGCTGCTGAGTGTCAGAGAGTCACTGTGCATGCTCACCATGGAAATCACAGCTGCTCTCTTGTCTAGTGCTCAGCTTCAGAGGAAAGCAAGCACTGAGTCTGACACCAACCTGCATTTTGAAGCTTTTGGTGTAAGAGCTTCTTACAAAGGATCAGATACAAATTCTGTTGAAGTCAGTGGCAAAATACCTGCCCTTGACCTCGAGGACCTTTTGGTCAGGCTTTCACCCTTACAAAAACTATGTGCTAGTTTAAATCACTAGCAGAAAGCTTGGCTGCCAGAAGCTGAAGTACTTAGGGCTATAACAGAATACAGGCATGTTCTGGCACTGTGGCTAATTTAGTAATAGCAGTAGTGGGGAGAACAAAAAAGAACCTTTTGGAGAATCCAAACAAGATAAGACACAACACTGAGTATTTGTTTATTTCTCCTCACCCAGAGCTTTTCTTTATCATATTACAGGACTTCATATAGTTTTTTCTCAAAATAAAGTCACCCACATCCAAGTTTCCTGTTTCTCCCAGATAAAATATCTGAATAAATATGAAATTTCAATAAATTATGGAATAAATAATGGAAATTACTTCTTCAGTTCATTTTTGGTCTTAAACAACAACAACAAAAATTTAAAACAAAGAAACAACCCCACACTGATATTGAAATTTTACTCTTCAGGCCACAGAACACGGCCAAGAATGGAGGGGGAAAGTAGAAGCTTTCCAGAAATAGAGTAATGTCATATATTTTCCAAAGTATGCTGCTCTGAAGAAGGAAATAGCTGGCCACATGGAAAACAGCTGGGATGAGGAGAGACAATACACAGGAAGCTGCTGTTTCTTCCCTTCAGCCAAAATATAACTTTATGTGTTTCAGAGAGATAGCCAGATGAATTTGTGAATGAAAGTAGAAGTGGTCAGCATGGCAGTAAGGAGAGAAGTTATTTAATAAGAGAGTTCTGTCA